CTGAATATTTTTTGCTTTCTTTGTCTTATTTTCAGCCTTACGCCTGCATTTAAATTCAGCACAATGCTTTTGCTGAAGGACCTCTTAATCAGTTTCCTGCTGTTAATTTCAATCTATAATATATATTGATGAATTAGGAATTGCACGAAAGAAAACACTGCTGCTTAAATGTTGTACACCCAGAGAATAGCTGATAGATTCTGCAACTATCAAACAAGCACAAGTGGAATATTGTGAGGTATACAGTGAAAGAGGGTGTGAATAACAGAATGACAGAGCATAGAAGGATGCTATTTGAATTATTGTGCCTTTGCTAAGATTGAATAACGGCAATGATTTTATCTTTGGCAAGTGATGACACTGTGTACTACTGGCAATGCCAGTGGACACTGTCACATATCAAATGACTGTTACTTTAGATTTTCATCATATCCTTATGACTGCGTGATCAATGCCTGTTCACATCTAATGCCTGGCAGCAACATTCTTTAGAAGCTGCCCGATTGGAACAAGTAGTCTTTTGGGATTCTGTTTTTGTTTTTGTTTTGTGAAATTTGTTGCAAGGCAGGACAGCTTGAGTCCCTTTTCACAAAAAACAGAGCTGTGCTGAAATAAGTAGAATGAGGAATGACAGACACAGTTCCAGCTTAATCTTGATTTTAATGGCAGCTTCCTGCTATGCTATATCGATAGTAACAGAGGCAGATAGGCAAGTAAAACAAAAGAAAGAACAGTAAATTCTGGAGATCTGAAACAAACAAAAACAGAAATTGCTGAAGAAACTCAGCAGGTTTGGCAGCAACCGTTGAGAGTCGGTCCCGATGAAGAGTCATTGGACTTGAAAAGTTAACTCTGTTTTCTCACCATAGATGAGTTTCTTTTGCAATTTCTGATAGATGAGGAAGTTAAATGTTTGCTTTGCTGATTCCTCACTACTTATCTAAGATATTTGTCGTTAATTGTGCAGGGGTTTGGAAGAGTTTCTGCCTTGATCAGGAATATCGCACGGTTGTCCCCTTTCCCTTTGCAGGTGGTGACACTTCAATGCTCCTGCAGTACTTGGTACGAACGTAAATTCTGAGGTGTATGGTGAAAGGCTAGGCAAGAGGCTGGTGGAAGGGTCGGATATGTGGCAGATAAACTTGAAAACACAGTGTGAAGTGATACATTTTGGCAGGAAGAAGGAAGAATATGATGGATTTAATTCTAAATGGGAGCAGTGGGACCTGGGTTTGGGTTTTTAGACCTGGCAGCGCTGGTTGAGATTGTTGTTCATAGAACTAATGTGGGGCTGAGCTTTATAAACAGTCGTGTGGAGTACTGATGTAAGGAAGTTACGGACAAAATTATAATACACTGATTCAACCTCCACCAGAATATTGATAAAATTTTGCACGCAACACTTTAGGATGGATATGAGAGCTTTGGAGAGGAGGCAGAAAAGATTCAGGAGAATATTTCCATTGATGAGGGATTCAGTCAGATGGAGAGGAACATAGGAACAGAAGTCGTCTATTCAGCCCCTTGAGCCTGTTCCAAAATTCAATGAGATCAAAACAAGGGGGAGCAGATTTAGGACTGAGTTGAGGAGGAACTTCTTCACCCAAAGGGTTGTGAATCCGTGGAATTCCCTGCCCAGTGAAGCAGTTGAGGCGGCATCATTGAACGTTTTTAAGGCAAGGATAGATAGATTTTTGAACAGTAAAGGAATTAAGGGTTATGGTGAGCAGGCGGGTAAGTGGAGCTGAGTCCACAAAAAGATTAGCCATGATCTTATTAAATAGTGGAGCAGACTCAACAGGTCAGATGGCCTACCCTGGCTCCTATTTCTGAGGATGTTCTGAGGGAGGGTCACTCGACCTGAGATTTGAGCAGCACAGTGGCACAGTGGTTAGTACCGCTGCCTCACAGCACCAGGGGCCTGGGTCGCTTCCACCCTCAGGCAACGGTCTGTGTGAAGTTTGCACCTTCTCCCCATGTCTGCGTGGGTTTCCTCTGGGTGCTCCGGTTTCATCCCACAGTCCAGAGATGTGCAGGCTAGGTGGATTGGCCATGCTAAATTGCCCATAGTGTTTACGGATGTGTAGATTAGGTGGGTTATAGGGGGATGAGTCTGGGTGGGATGCTCTGTGGGTCGGTATGGACTTGTTGGTGGGGGACAAGTATTGGCGATAGAAGCAAGGCTAACACATTTATTAAAATTCTTTGAGAAGGTAACAAACAGTACAGATAAAGGGGAAACAGTGGATGTAATATATTTGGATTTTCAGAACATGCTTGATAAGGTGCCACATGTTATGGTTACTTAATAAGATAAGAGTACATAGTGCTGAAGGTAGTATATTCACATGGATAAAAGATTGGTTCACTAAAAGAAGACAGAGAGCTGCATTAAGGGGGCAACGTGAAACTAATGGAGTGCCACCCTTAATTATTTACAATATATATTAATTACAGTTTATAGTTGCCAGGTTTGCAGATAACACAAAAGTAGGTGGGAAGGCAAGTAATGAGGAAGAAACAAAGAGTCTGCAGAGGGATATGGATAGGTTAAGTGATTGGCAAAGAATTCTAGCCACCACCTTACGCATTCACTTCCCAACCATCTTCCAAGTTACATTCAACAACTCACCAAGGTTTCATCAATAGAGTTCCAAAGCTATGAAATATTAACTACAGTTTACTGTAGCTAGGTTTGCAGATAACACAAAAGTAGGTGGGAAGGCAAGTAATGAGGACAACATAAAGAGGCTGCAAAGGGATATGGACAAATTAAGTGATTAGCAAAGACTTGAAAAATGGAATTTAATGTGGGAAAACGTGATGTTATGCACTTTGCTTGGAAGAATAAAAGAGCTGAATATTCTTTAAAAGCAGAAAGACTGCAGAAAGTTACAGTACAGAAGGTTTGGGTCCTTATGCATGAATCACAAAAAAGCTAGCATTCAAGTTCACCAGGAAACTGGGAAGGAATGAAATGTAAGCCTTTATTTCAAAGGGAATGGAGTATAAAAATAGGAAGGTCTAGCTAAAACTATATAAGGTTTTCATTAGCCCACACAGCCAGAATGCTGTAAACAATTCAGGGCCCCTTATCTAAGGAAGTATATACTGACTTTGAAGGTAGTCCAGAGAAAGTTCAAGAGATTGAACCTATGTGTGGAGTTACTGTTTTATGAAGAGAGTTTGAGTACGTTGCGCCTTGTATCATCGGCATTTAGACGAATAAGAGATCAGCTCTTTGAAATGTAGAAGTTTCTTACGGGACTTCATAGGACAAATGCAGAGAGGTTGTTTCCCTTTATGAGAGAATCTAGGACCAGAGGACCTGTCTCAGAATAGGGGGGCTCATATTTAAGACAGAGATGAGGAGAAATTTCTTGACTTGAAGGATAGCAAATTTGTGTAATTCTTTACCACAGAGGTTTATTGAGGCTGGGTTATTAAGAATATTCATAGCTGAGATAGACAGCTTTTTAAAATGTTATGGGAAAAAGGCAGGAGCGTGGAGTTGAGAGTTTTCAGTTCAGCCACCATCTCATTAAATAGCAGAACACACTCAATGGGCTGAATGGCCTACTTCTGTCCCCACATCTTATTCTCTTGGGAGGTGAGTTACTCCCCACAGAATTCCCAACCTCTAATCTTGTTGCCCCTGTATTTGTGTGGCTGGTCCAGTCAGGAGTCTAGTCAAATCTTGCCCTATGATGTTGATGGTAGGAGACTTGAAGATGGTAATATATTGGTAATGTTAAGAGCAGGTAATTAAACTCTCTTTTGTTGGAAATATTCAGTGACTGACACTTGTGTGGCATAAATATTACCTGCCATTTATCAGTCTAAGCCTGATATTTTGTCGAGGTTTTTCTTCGTTGTCTGACGAATTTTGAAGTGAACTGAATGTTGTGCATTTGTCAGCAAACAGTTATACATCTGACTTTATGATGGAGGGAACAAGGCTGATGCTAGGTAAGCCATTTTTAATGCAAATGTGGACAGGTCCCTGACCAATCATAGAGTCAAAAATTATTGGGGGTAGGTGAGAATGAGGAGTTGGTTCTATCTGCCATGATCATATTGAATTAAGGCTTGAGGTGCCATATGCCCTATTCTGCTCCTAATTTAGACGCTCGTATGTTCTAAAGATGTTTGCACCCGTGATACTGTCCAAAGGAATCCCTGTAGTAATGTCTGGTGCTGAGATGTTTGGTATCAAACAATCACAAGCATGTTCCTATGGCTATGGTTACAACAACAGCGAGTTCCACACAAACCAGCATTCTGCTCCTCCTCCACCCCACACCTCTTCCTTCCCCCTCTTTCCCCTGACCAACACCTCAAATCCAATGACTGTAGTTTTCCTAGACCTCCTTGGTGCTACTATCTGTGGCTGGTGTTACTTTCAAGGCCAGTCACTCTCACTTGACCTCTGGTGCTCAGACTCTGGCCCAAGGCGCTAATGAGATCTGTAGCCAAATGGCAATGCAGAAGTTGACTTGGATACGTATCACTATTGCTCAGGATTTGTTGCAACTGCAGGGAATGTCAAATTCCAATGTTTTGTTTTTTTCTGATACGCAAAGACTGTACAGAACTGCTTGAGCACCTGTGAATGTAGATATAGGTTTCTAATGAATAAAGTATATTTTTGCAATAGAAAACTATTCCTTGGGGTCACTGGATCAAGATTATGAAACTTCCTACCTAACAGTACCTTCAGCACAATGACGTCTGTAGGTTAACTGGTTTAGTCCTGACAACCAGCTTTCTCAAGGGCATCTAGTGATTGACAACAAACACTGGCCTTAGTAGCATTGACTGTATCCTTAGACTGAGCTAAAAATGGTAGTGGCAGATGGAAACGTCAATGAGCCCACGATGCCAAAGGACAAATCTTAACCGATGCCTTTGTCAAGCATCACATGTGGGTTACACGCAAACAGCTTTCAAATGCGTTCAGAATAGATCGAAATTCAGATTTTGACTAAAACAATATATACCCAGCCACTAACGCATCGACCGCAGGTAGTGATCTTGAAGTCTCCATAAAGATCCTTAATGGCACCAGTTGTAAAAAATCCTTCGACCATCAGCAGAATGCCATATACAAAGAAGGCAGCTGCCACACCATAGATGACATACTTGAAGATATCAATCCTGCAAAGTCAAATGTATAGGGATTAACTCATAGAGATTATGGTAGAATAGCAGTACATACACACTTGTACTGGCATCATCAACATGTTCTATCATGTGCAGTTCTCGCAATTATTTCTAACTTAAGGAAGAGAGAGAAACGAATCAATGCAAATACATCAAATGATCCACTCTATCCCTCTGCCTTTGGAGATACTTTACCCCAGGCCAAAGTTTAATTTTAATTAGTGCAGATGATAAGAAGCTAACATTTAAACATGTGGGTACATTTCCCTCCATTTAGAATGGAGAGTTATTCTGTATGTCTAACAGTTCAAGCCAGGGAAATAGAAGCAAAATTTGTTTAAAAGCCACAGTAACATGGACCCATTTATCATTTTCTCTTGAGATAAAAGTTAGACCTATTTTCTTATTCAGGTTTTGCTAATTTAGTCACATGGGTGAGAGGAAGGAGCAAACAAACTTCATTTTCTAACACGATCGGGTTGGCACAAAATATTGCCTCGGCAAATATTTCTTCACATTCCCATTAAAACCATTACCAGAGCTGTTAGCCTACTATCACACTGCATCATCAGCATGATAGATTTTAGAATAATTTAACTGTGTCGTCAACAAAAGACTGTAACTCATTTACTGCCCTCTGAATCATTCTTTCCCTCGCACATGCAGTAAAATATTTATGTCACTCATGATGAATGGAAAATCACCTGAGCTATAAATTTTCACTATGGGAAACACAAAATTATAAAACTATAAAGTTGTGGCACTGTGGGTGTACTTCCCAACTCAAACTGCAGCAGTTGAAAGATGTGGCTCACCACCACATTCTCTGGAACAAGGCAACAAGGGATGGGAATTAAGCAGTGACACCCAATTCCGATAAATGAATAAATAAAGCATATTTCTTTTAACTGTATTGATAAACCAGGCTCTTTTGAGCGCACATGTCAATAAACAACCAGTTCAGGGCCTGTTCCGTTCAGTAAACACATCAAAGTATTCAGTCATTCATAAAAAATGAAATAGCAACTCATTAAAATACAACAGCAAAAGGAGCTGAGAGTAGAAACACATGCATCGCATAGAGCTAGATCGTTCAGGGCATTTCTCCACACAGAGGATGGGGCAAATCTGAAAATCCCTGCCCCCACCAAAAGACTTTTCAGACTTAGGGCGAAATAGAGCTTTATGCAAAAATAGTAAGATACAGAGCCAAAGGCAGGCAGATGGATTTAAGATACAGATCTGGTGGAAAAACTACAAGGGTATAATTGGTCCATTTCTGCCCTGGCCTTACTGTAACTGATATCAATACAGAATCAAAACAAGTTCAGTGCACATGGAGGATGACAGTACAAAGCTGTTTGTTATCACGGGCTATGTCTTCCTACGGTCACAGTGTTTTAAAACAAGTGGGAAGTAATATTTTTCCATCATTTGTGTGTTGTTTAAAGGCAGGAATTATAGGCCTGTAAGTCTAACATCGGTAGTGAGGAAAATTCTCAAATCCATTATCAGTTACTTTATAGTAGAGCATTTAGAAAGCGCTGGCAGGATCAGACAGAGTCAGCATGGATTTATGAAGGGGAAATCATGCTTGACAAATCTGTAGAATTCTATGAAGATGTAGCTACTAGAGTTGATAAGGGAGAGCCAGTCGATGTGGTATATTTAGACATTCAGAAAGCGTTTGACTAAGTCCCGCTTAAGAGATTATTGTGCAAGATTAAAGCACATGGGATTGGGGGAAGTGTATTGAAGTGGATACAAAATTGATTGGCAGAGAGGAAACAAAGAGTAGGAATTCATGGGTCCTTTTCAAATTAGCAGGCAGTAACTTGAGGAGTGCTACAGGGATTGGTGCTGGAAACCCAACTATTCACAATATATATTAATGATTTGGATGAGAGGACAAAATGTAACATCTCAAAGTTTGCAGATGATGCCAAGTTGAGTGGGAGGATGAATTATGATGAGGATGCAGAGATACTTCAGCATGATCTAGACAGATTAGGTGAGTGGGCAAATGAATGGTAGATGCAGTATAATTTGGGTAAATGTGAGGTTATTTACTTTGGAAGCAAAAACAAGGAGGCAGATTACTACCTGAATGGCTGTAAATCGGGAGAGGGGTGTGTGTAACGGGACCTGGGTGCTTGTGCACCAGTCGCTGAAGGTAAACATGCAGGTGCAGCAGGCGGTAAAGAAGGCAAATGGTATGTTGGCCTTCATTGCGAGACGTTTCGAATACAGGAGGAGGGATGTATTTTTACAGTTATACAGGGTCTTGGTGAGACCACACCTAGAATATTGTGCGCAGTTTTGACACCCTTTTCTGAGGAAGGATACCCTTGTTCTCGAAGGAATGCAGCGAAGGTTTACCAGGATTCTGGGAATAACGGGACAGACATTTGAGGAGAGATTGACGAGGTTAGGATTGTTTTTGCTGGAGTTCAGACAAATAAGGGGGAAATCTCACAGAGACTTATAAAATTCAAACAGGATTAGACAGGGTACATGCAGGGAGGATGTTCCCGATGGTGGGTGTGTCCAGAACCAGGCGACACAGTATGAGGATTCAGGGGAGACGATTTAGGACAGAGATGAGGAGACATTTCTCCACCCAAAGAGGGGTGAGCCTGTGGAATTCATTACCTCAGGAAGTAGTTGATGCCAAAACATTGAATGTATTCAAGAGGCGGTGAGATATAGCACTTGGGGTGAATGGGGTCAAAGATTATGGGGAGAAAGCAGGATTGGGTATTGAGTTGGATGATCAGCCATGATCGTGATGAATGGCGGAGCAGGATCAAAGAGCCGAATGGCCTCCTCCTGCTCCTATCTTCTATGTTTCTATGTGGAGACTTGTGCCCTCACTCTGGTTCTCACACCATAGGTAAACTACGGAAAACTCAGTTCTAAAATATTCGTTTTTATGTTACAGTAAATCTCTCATCAAATCTGAAGTTTTTTAATATTTTGCTCATTCTTCAGCTAAGAATTTTTAGTTGGAAGCCTCCCCATAGGCGCTCATTAACACAATGGCCTTTTGTCCATCTGTGAGGAGATGTACATGGTTTTCAGAGATCGGACCTTGGTGCTAGTTTGGGAGAAGACCCTGTTTAATAATCAAACAAGACTGTAGTTCATGTTCAGTCTATTTGTAAAGCTGTTTTATTCACCATCCTGTCAAAAAGATACATATTATTGCTGAGGAGATAATTCCCCAGAAATCAGTGGCCATCTCATATGTCAAAATTACAGTGGTGCAATATTTAGATGGTGATTATCAGTGAGGCATAGAAGCATCCCATGATATCAATCCTTATTCTGACTCCAGTAGATCTGAGGAACATTGGTTAGATGAAGTAACCGTGACTGATTTCCCATTTCAGGAACTGTGAGAAGTCAGTCTTATCATTATGCCCAATACTCTCTTGGATGGTGTCAACTAAACCTAGGACCTATCGGTCTGTATGTTGAGATCAGCTTTCAGCTAGAGCCATAACATTATGGTTTGCACTGTAATCTTTTCTTAAACTGGGAACCTAAAAGTAATGAAACAGCTTGAAGTGCAAACTACTCTTAAGACAGTATTAACTAACTTTTTACCAAGAGGTTTCGGATAAAACTGAATTATGTTAACAAAAGAGCAATAGTGAGATTTATTTTTAGATATCTTTTTCATGGCTTTCACATGTGTGTTTAGGAATTCAGTCACAGGATGCAGGCACTGCTGGTTAGGCCAGGATTTATTTATTTATTAGAATCTGTCTAATTCCTTGATGTGGGGAGGTGACAGTGTTGGACTGGGGTGGACAAAGTCAAAAGTCACACTACACCAGGTTATAGTCCAATGAGTTTATTTGAAATCACAAGCTTTCGGAGCAGCTCTGAAAGCTTGTGTTTTCAAATAAACCAGTTGGACTATAACCTGGTGTAGTGTGATTTTTGACTTTGTCTAATTCCTAATCACCTATAGGTCAGTTAAAATTCAACCACTTTGATGTGGATCCGGAGTCACATGTAGGCCAGACCAGGTAAGAATGGCAGATTTCCTTCCTGAAAGGACATTAATGAACCAGATAGGTTTTAAAGAACAATCAAGAATGGTCACCATTAAGTTTGTTTTTTTTTCAGATTCTTACTGCATTCAAATTTCACCATCTGCCATAGTGGGGTTTGAACCCTTGAACTCAGAACATTAGCTTGGGGTTCAGGATTATTGGCACAACAGCATGATCACAACACCCCCGCCTGGCTATCTGTTTACAAGTTAAGCATGTTTAAACTGTTGTTGGAATGATTTGATAATCTGTCCTTTTGATGTTGGTTTAGGGATGAGTACTAGGTCAACACATATGACTACCCATTCTTCATTGAAATAATGCTGTCAGACTCTCATTTAACATATCTAGGTATTTGTACCCCTGGTCAGTGCTGCCTTGTGAGTCAGGATGATTTTCTCATGTCTCTGGAGTGAAAAAAGTCCTGAACTCACAACTCTCTTTTTCTCCAAAATGGGATATGTGCATTGCTTGCGAGGCCAGAATTTAATACCCGTCTCCAGTTCCCCAGAGGGCAGTTAAGAATCAACCTCATTGTTGTCACATGTAGGCCAGAATACGTAAGGATGGCAAACATTAGTGAACCAGCTGGGTTTGTATGACAATTGACGTGGTCACCACTATGCTCGCTTTTAAATTCCAGATTTTTACTGAATTTGGACATCACCACCTACCATCATGGGATTTGATCCAAAGTCCCGGAATATCAGCTTCAAGTTCTGGATTACTAGAGCAATGACATTAATGTTATACAACCTCTCTTGACTCAGAGCTAAGCAGGGCCACCAAATGAGCCACCACTGACCCGATGCATCTGAGGCCTTTGCAACACCAAGGCAAGAGAGTGGATATGAAGCAGGATTACTTACATAGTGAAAATATCTATGGCATCTCCAGCACCTTTTACCACCTCAAAGTTATTCTGCAGGATTGTGACTGTTCCAGAGAGGGCTTCATGACCACAGCCACAGAACAGTGCCACACCAGCGTACAGGAGGATAGTGGCTATCAGCGATGCATAGGGAATACCACCCAGACACTTGATGCAACACTCAAAGCACCCTGAAAAAAAAGACAAAATAATTTAACCTTTAATATGCTATAATTACAACAGTTAGAAAAAATTCAAGTATGTTTTACTACTTTAGGGATAAGAAGGTAGCTTGGGAAAAGGTATGTCCACTCAAGGACAAAGGTGGGATCTTATGCATGGAGCCGGAGGAAGTGGGTGAGATCCTTAATGAGTACTTCACATCAGTATTCACCAGGGAGAAGGGTATAGATGATGGAAAGGTTAGGAAGGGTTATGTTAATATACTGGGGCCAATTGATATTAAGAAGGAGGAACTGTCAGGTGTCTTGAAAATCATTAAGATAGATCAGCCCCTAAGGCCTGATGGGTACTGAAAGATATTGAAGGAGGCAAGGGGGAGATTGTTGGGGCTTTGACAGAGATCTTTGTATCCAGCAGGGGAGGTGCCAGAATACTGGAGAATAACCAATGTTGTTTCTTTGTTTAAGAAGGGCTATAGCGATAATCCAGGAAATTATAGACCAGTGAGCCTTACATCCTTGGGAGGTAACTTATTGAAGAAGGTTTTTAGGGACAGGATTTACACACATTTGGAAAAAAATAGACTTATTAGAGATAGTCAGTATGATTTTGTACAGGGGAGGTCTTGTCTCATAAATCAGTTTGAGTTTTTAGAGGAAGTAACAGATGATTGATGAGGGTAAGGCAGCGGATGTTGTCTACATGACTTTTACTCAAGCCTTTGACAAGGTCCCTCATGGTAGCCTGATCCAGAAGATTAAGTCACATCGGATCTATGTGGAGTTGGTAAGTTAGATACAAAAATTGCTTGATCATAGATGATCACAGTTGTGGAGCGGTGTTTTTCTCAGGAGGTCTGCAACCAGTGGTGTTCAGCAAGGATCAGTGCTGGGACTGTTGTTGTTCGTAACATATATAAATGACTTGGACTAAAATTTTAGTGGTCAAATTAGCAAGTTTTCAGATGACACAAAAATTGGTGGAGTCGTGGATAGTGAGGAAGGTTTCAACAGCTACAGCAGGATATAGATCAGTTGGAAAGTTGTGTTGAGAAATGGCAGATAGTGTTTAATCTGGACAAATGTGAGATGATACAAGAGGAAAGTACATAGTAAATGGCAGGAACCCTCAAGAGCATTGATAATAAGAGAGATCTTGGGATGCAATTTCATAGCTCCCTGAAAGTGGCAACACAAGCGAATAAGCTAGTAAAGAAGGCATACTGAATGTTTGCCTTCATTGGTCAGAGTATTGAGAATAAAACTTGGCAAGTCATGTTCCAGCTATCTAAAACTTTAATTAGGCCACATTTGGAGTATTGTGTGCAGTTCTGGTCACTACACTATAGGAATGATGTGGAGGCTTTGGAGAGGGTGCAAAAGAGGTTTACCAGGATGTTGCCTGGATTTGAGTGTATTAGCTATAAGGAAAGTTTTGACAAACCGATTAATTTCGATAGAGTGTCTGAGGTTGAGGGCGATCTGATAGAAGAACATAAAATTATGAGAGGTATGGTTAGAGTGGATAGTCAGAGTCTTTGTCCGCGGGTAGAAATGTCAAATATGGGCGAGCATAGGTTTAAGGTGAGAGGGGAAAGTTTAAAGAAGTTTTGCAAGTCAAGTTTTTTACTCAGAGGGTGGTAGGTATTTGGAACACACTGCCAGGGGAGGTTGTTGAAACAGATATGGTAGCAATGTTTAAGAGGAATTCAGACAAGCACATTGACAGGTAGGGGAATAGAGGGATATAGACTATTTACAGGCAGATGGGCTTAGTTTAGAATGACATCATAGTCAGAGTAGATATGGTGGGCCGAAGGGCCTGTTCATGTGCTGTACTGTTCTGTGTTCTATGTTTTATGTTCTAATAGACATGTTAAGCCAATTTGCCTTAAGTTTATATTGTGCACAATAGTTGGAGACGTGGAGTGTCTTGGGGCCAACCATCTTCAGCTGCTTCATCAATGACCTTCCCTCCACTCCCCTCCCCCTACCGCATCCCAAAACCAGTCCAGCTCGTCCCTGCCTCCCTAACCTGTTCTTCCTCCCACCTATCCCCTCCTCCCACCTCAAGCCGCACCTCCATCTCCTACCGACCAACCTCATCCCGCCCCCTTGACCTGTCCGTCCTCCTGGACTGACCTATCCCCTTCCTAACTCCCTACCTACACTCACCTTTACTGGCTCCATCCCCGCCTCTTCGACCTGTTTGTTTCCTCTCCACCTATCCTCTCCTCTATCCCTCTTCTATCCACCTCCCACTCTCTCCCTATTTATTTCGGAACCCCCTTCCCCTCCCACTTTTCTGGTGAAGGGTCTAGGCCCGAAACGTCAGCCTCTCTGCTCCTATGATGCTGCTTGGCCTGCTGTGTTCATCCAGCCCTGCACCTTGTTGTCTCGGATTGTCCAGCATCTGCAGTTCCTACTATCACTGTTGTTAAAAGTATCTCTTCCTTAGCTGGGATCTGTAGTGGAATCTCTGACAGCTGCTAGTGATTGTGGGTAAGTGTACTCTACAGTACAATGGAGCTGGTTAGACCCAGTGAGCCCCTTCCAATAGTGGCTTCATTTACAAGTGAAAGGACAGAGCTAAGTGCAATGAGGAAAGAACAATACAGAAACTAACAGAAGCCCAGGGTTTATTATTGCATTTGGGTCTGAAAGGTTTAAAACCGAGGAGTGTCATAAGCACCAACCTCCATGATCATCTCACGTGGACTTCTAAGGATCTCAAAATAGTGACACCTAACATCTAGTCCTCCTCAATGTCTCTGTCACAGTGTTGGACATATCAATGTATCATATAAGTAGTTGTTAGCATATAATCAAATATACAAGGTACTCTTCTAGTTAGACCAGGAGGTGATTTTTTTACCACACTGAAACAAAGGATGGTTGCAGCAACCTTCATCATGAAACGTGGCTCTCACAGTGCAAAATACTGTCAATGATGGAAATCGAAATAAAAACAGAAAGTGCTGGAGAAACTCAGCAGGTCAGGCAGCATCTGTGAAGAGAGAAAGTCCTTTATACTGGACTTGAAGTGTTAACTGTTTTTCCCTCCATTGATGCTGCCTCACCTGCTAATTTCTCCAACAATGATGCTGGAGTTTAGATAGCCCTGAAATGGCCCAGTAAATCATTTAGTAGTCTTCAAATAGACAGCAGACCACGAACCTCTCAAGACGATTAGCAACTAGTTCATGAATGTTGGCCTTCACCACTGATACATATATCCTACGCAAGAATAAACAAAAGCAAAAGGCAAATCAAAAACAAACTTTTGTTCAACTTCTGTTGGCTTACCGAACCTACAAAGCAACATAAAGTGACTGTAATTCCTTAAAATCTTTATTTTTTTGTTTTTCACAAATTAGTGTGCAGAAGCATCTGGGAAATGAATGGGAGAAATGAGTTTGAAATGTGCTATGATGACGTGATACTACTATGCTTAGGGAAGTAGAGGGCATGTGCACAGTCTACACTGCAGTATTTATCAGTGGTTATGTTTCCAAAGCATCTGAACCCTGTAAAGCCTTTCCTGCAGAGAACAGCATCTGTAACGGGGCATACAGTGTTTCACACAACTGTGACAGCAATTCCAGGGACACTGAGAATATTTGTGGTTGAATAATTAAATCATATCCTGAAAGGAAGAGCAAAGCATTTCGAGTGAAAACTGAAAGAACTTCGGATGCTGTAAATCAGTCTGGAATGCACTGTCTAAAAGGATGGTCAAAGCAGATTCAATTTTCAAGAGGAATTTGAGGATTTGACTTTCTGAAGATAATTGCCTAATTACTTGCAGGGCTATGAGGAAACACTGTTTGTGTAATTGTTACAATCACTACAAGCATATGTGGTAGAACAAACAGCAACTTGTGTTCATATAGCACCCATTACCAACTCAGGGTATCCCAGAGCACTTTACAACAAATGCAGTGTAATCACTGCTGTAATGTAGGAGATGAAGCAGTCAAATTGAATAGCAAGCTCACACAAATGGCAATAAAGAAACAATCAAACGATCTGCTTGATTTGTGCTGATTAAGGATAAACATTGACAAGGTCATCAAGAAGAAATGCAATCATGAAAACTTTGATGTCTCTAGGACAGTAGGCAGTAATCGTTTTTTAAACATTTGCTCAGAAAATCAGCATCCATGACAGCTCATCACTCCCTCAGTGAAAATATCAAATTTTAGTTCTTCTAAAATCATCAGAAATAATAGTCTGAATGTTGATGCCTGTCAACAGTAATCAAATTAACTTACCCCTCTTTCATACTACAGTCCTTTATCCAAGTGTAATATAGCAACAGGAAGTTTTAGAATTGTAAATAATGGCATTCAATCCTTTCCTGTATTGTGGCCCTGCTGATTACAGAGGGCAAACTTTGGTGGCCATTTTGTTCAGTTGATCTGTGGACCTGTCAGGCCAGGCCAGTGGTGTAGTGCTTAGACAGCATTTTCACTTATCCCCAATGAGCAATGGAAGATAAACTTCCAGGAACATAAAGTTTGGTGGTACAGTATTTAGCTATTGCTGAAAAATGGCAATTTGAACAAGTGTTTCACCTTGCACCGCTTAGAATATGTGTATGAATGCCAATATAAAAGGAACAACCAGAGAATGATTGTTGCTTATTTTGTTCAATTACAAAGGTACAACATGACCACATGTTATTTCTGTGTACAAATTATTATGTTAATTCAGAAATAATATGTTACTATGATTAGTATATGCAGCTTACAGCGTGTGCAAGTGCATCATTATTAAGCCAATGTCCAATCATGGATTCACATCTAATGCTGGACATATTGCTTTGAAGTTTGCATATCCAAACTCATTGAGCATGGCCTATAACCTTCTCTTGGAAACTGAAACAAACTGTCTGATATGGTCTATCTGTCTTTGAGATAAATCAACTTGTTGTGTTGCGATAGTCTTAACAGACCATAGGGCTGTTCCCTCATTAGAGAGAGACACAACTGGTGGTGATTTAACCT